GTGTGTGTGTGTGTGTGTGTGTGTGTGTGTGTGTGTGGTGGGGGGGGTGAGATAGGGTTTCTCTATGTAGTCCTAGCTGTCATGGAACTTACTCTGTACACCAGGCTGGCCTTGAACTTACAGAGATCTGCCTGCCTCTGCCTCCTGAGTGCTGGGATTAACACCAAACCCAGGCAGGTTTCCTGTCTCTTGAAGGCTCCCTGACCCTCGATCTATTATTAACCCAGAACAAAAGTAGCTGCTTTTCATAGGAAGGCCACTCTACAGAACCCACTCACATCCTTGATGGAAGATTTTAAGGATGATCTCATTTTTATGGAAATGAGTTGTATTTGCTGCAGGGAGAGGAAAGTCCAGGGAAGGTTCAGTGGCTGACCCCACTGTCTCTGCTGTCATTTCACAGATCCCATTTACAATGATGAAGAAGGAACAGCCACCACCATGGGCACCTCCGTTCAGAGCATTGAACTCGTTCTCCCACCCCATGCAAACCATCACGGAAACACATTTGGCGGGCAGATTATGGCATGGATGGAGACAGTAGCAACCATTTCTGCAAGGTTCTCAGTTTTGGCCTGGGAATAGGGGCATAGGAAACATGGTTGGAAGTGGTTTTCCTTTTTATAAATTATGCAAAAAAGTGAAAGTATATTTGGTAGCCTTCTTGCTCCAGGCAATTTTTTCTCTGAGGAAAAGTTTGGCTTTTAATCTATGGATAAACTCAGTGACTGGAGAAGCTGAGAAAGAACTGTGATCAGCATTGGCTGTCAGCTGTCACCCATTGTGTCCTACCCCCAATCCACAAGTCACAGTGTCCTGGGACGTTTGTCAGGAGCTGTCAGAATGAATAGGACACTCAAATGATGACAGAAAGCATTGGTTTGCTTTTGGAAGAACTTCCATAGAGAATAGACCAATGCCAAAGAACCACTATCTTCATGAGATACCCACTTTGTTCCTCTCTACACATAGTCCTCTTGAGTCAAAGGGATTGTCTACATAGAAAACGGGTTGCTTGCTTGTCTAGTGCATCCATTCAATGAATTTGTTGTTTTTGAGACTACTGTGGAAGATGTACATCTCTTTTCTTTTCCCATTGTTTATTTAGCCGCCTCTGTCATGGGCATCCCTTTCTGAAGTCTGTGGATATGTTTAAATTCCGGGGACCATCCACAGTTGGGGACCGCCTTGTCTTCAATGCCATAGTCAACAACACATTTCAGAACAGGTAACATGTGTTTCTTGTGACAATTTGGAACCATGAACAAACTGTAGGAATGTAGGAGCTACATCACAATACCATCTACTTTTAAACTTCACTCAGTACGGACTCATACTTTAGTCTTCTGCTTGTGGTTTTTCACACTCAGGAAATTGTAATGAATTGTGTTGTCCTCTAGAGTATTGGGACATGCAGCTGGCCCAGGATGGTTCCAATTGGTATTCATCACCCTAAAATAATTATTAGTTCTTTCTTCCAGTATCTATAATGGGCTTGTTGTTTATAACAGTGTGTCCAGACTACATCCCAGTTGTTTTTTGTTATCTCGGTATGTAGTGAAAAGATTTTACATAGTATTTTCTTCTTTTTAGATGTAAAAAAAGGAAGGTTAATCTCTGTTTCCAGCCAAACTTCAGCTTTTCATTCTTTTAAATCATAAAACTATTGTTTTTAAGGGAGAAAATGTGTTTTGAGCACAATTAACTAAATATGTCAATGGGTGTGTGTCCCAGTGGGAAAGGAAAATGGAACTCCCTCAGGCATTCCTACAGCACTCTCAAAGTAGATTTGAGTAGTTGGACGGGTGTGCTGGCATCAAAAGAGAAAACCCAGGGCCCTCTTGTTGCTTGGTGGGAGTGGAGGCTAACGATGTCACAGTCCTCCTTGCCCACAACCCTGCCTCTCCCTTGCAGTGTGGAAGTTGGCGTGCGTGTTGAGGCCTTTGACTGTCAGGAGTGGGCCGAGGGCCGAGGCCGCCACATCAACAGTGCTTTTCTCATTTACAATGCTGTTGATGATCAGGAGGACGTCATCACCTTCCCCAGAATCCAACCCATATCAAAGGTCAGTTGTCACCATGTGAGCTCCAGTGACCTGTGGGTACAGAGCCCCGTGCAGCTTCCCACTGGCAACCATCTCCAAGAGGTTTGCTTTCTTCTATGCCTAACTAGGTACAACGGGCTCTTTCCTTTTCTTTTCTCCCCACATCACTCTGCTATGGACCTCCTTCTACAGTCAGTCTTTCTGAATCTGCTCTCGTGTCTAGGGCATCCTGTGCTTGATGCTTTGCCACATTCATGGGAAACCTGTCTTTCTCAACCAGGAGTCAACTTAGTGTTAGTACTCACCTCCTCTAAAATATCCCAGAGTGAAATCTGTGTGATTTTAGTAGCAGAAATGAAAAAATCTCCACTTTGAAAAGGAAATGAAAACAGCTGTCAAAGTCGCTGAGAGGCTCAGATCTCAGGAGGAAGTTTCACAGAGACACGAGCCCCAGTTAGTCTAGGGGAGGATACCTAAGGATCGCAGTGCCAACAGATTAGAAATTGATCTGCTGTCCTCTTTCTTGAAGGATGATGTTCGACGTTATCAGGGAGCTATCGCAAGGAGGAGAATTCGCCTAGGCAGGTAAAGGAAATAAAGCAGGAGGATTTCATGGGCTTCCTCCATCTGACAAGCCACGTAACAAAAAGCCACTGCCTGGAGTCCCTGCTTGCACATAATGGGGAAGAAAGGGTCCTAATGTTCTTAAAGTTAAAAATGGTTCTTCCTGATTTCCTACCAAAGAGCACATAAAAAACAAAAAACAAAAAAAACAAAAAAAACCAAAAAAACGACTTCAAATGAAGAAATTATCATGGGTCCTCTATTAAGCATAGAGAAAAAAATTGTCACTTAATATTTTAATTTTTTTCAGGAAATATGTTATTTCCCATAAAAAAGAAGTTCCACTCAGCACACAATGGGATGTAAGCAAAAAGGTAACAGTTTGACAGTTTGGAATGCTTTATCTAAACGTTACACCATCATGGAAGTAGAAACCACCTTGTTTAACAGGTCTAGGTTGTATCTACATGTGTTAGATGACAGGGTGAACAGTATAACCCTCCATTTCTAAATGATGCCAAAAAGGTCATCAGCCATGGTTATCCTACTGTCAAGTTTGAACTCTGTGAACATCTGGCATGGGATGTTTCAATCTGGTGTCTTGCCTTGATTTGCAGTGAGTGGCATGCTTATGAACTTGAACATCTGTAGAGCAAGAAAGGTTACTTGTGGCTCAGGTTCTGTGGCTAAGAGCACTGGAAACTCTCTTCCTGAGGTCCTGGGTTTAATTCCCACACCCACACAGAGGCTGACAACCATTTGTAACTCCAGTTCCACAAGATCTGATGTCCTCTTCTGGCCTCTATAGGCACGGCATACACATGGTGCACAAATACACATGCAGACAAAATATCCTTCTACATAAAATAAAAATAAACATTTTTTTTAAAAAGTAGGATTAGTCATTTAAACATTTTTGACAGTAAAATCTAATTTGGGATCCAAGTCTACTTGTCACACACATTGTTATAAGTCACACTGAAGGGCATCTGTCTCAGACTACCAAGTCAAAGCATACACAATAGATGAGTGCCTGGACTTTGAGATATAAGTTAGATATTAGTACTAGATAGTCTAGTTTATATTCAGCATTATCACTTTGGCTCAATATACACCTCCTCCAACACTGGCCATTGTTGAAGTAGAAAAGATTGATCCCAAGGCTATATGTTGAACACCTAGCTTTAATTTTTGTGTGTGTGTTTTAGGGATCCCTAAGTAACACCAATGTGGAGGCTCTCAAAAATCTGGCATCCAAAAGTGGCTGGGAAGTTACCACCACATTGGACAAGGTGAGTGCCCAGTGTTTGTGCTGCTCCTGCCCATAGCAAATTAAAGCTAGCATTGTGGTCAGGATTTTGAGGCTCTCTGCTTCTCCGCTGGAGGGACAGCAGTTTTTAAGAGGTGGGCCCTGGGCCTTCCTGCTGGGTTGACTTAGAATACTGTCCCCTGCCCTCCTGCCTCTTGGCAGGCCTGGGTTCTCATATCCACCTCTCACCTCTCACTCCGGGCTCCCATCTACCCACATCTGACGATCTTGATGAGCCAGGACAAATACTTCTGTAAGTCCTTTCTTGACCTAGTGCTCTTTTCTCTCTAGTAGCTCATTCCATCGTGACATCTCTAAAACTAATCTGTCTTTGAATCCTTTTCTGTCTTGTGATGCTTTGGCCATAGTTGCTGTGGGTTGGTATTCGAAATTTAGGTTTTCAATGATTTTTTTCCAAACAGATAATAAACCTTTTAAGAAGGAAGCCTTGTCTTGATTTCTTTGTATCCCTCTTAGCATACAATTTTGGCACATTATCAAGTTGAAATAAGTGTATATCATCTGGGCCTTAATTTTCAGACATTGGAGGACTCTTGGAAGTCAATGTCCACATTCACTAGACTCTAAATCTGCTCACCCACTGTATTCCCAGACCATGGTAGATGGTAGTGTCTGACACTTGGAAGATGATCGGGATTGCCAGCTTTAGGGTATGTCTGCTATGACTGCTGTTCACTGTCAGTGAAACACTAGCTTAGGCACTCAAGTGTCCTGACTGCCGTGAAACAGTCCAAGTTTGCACTTGTTGTCCCATCATAACTTTAGTCATGCCTCAGTGTTTCAGTGTGGATGGGCACCAAACAAGCCTCTTATTCTTAGAATCTAAGTAAATTCGAAGGCTACTTCCTTTGCCATTTTCAGTTTTCGCTGTGACTTCTGGGTATCTCTTTTTTGTTGTTGTTTTGGCTATCTCCTTGTCTGTACTGTTGAATGCCCTCTAGATCCAGCTCGGCTCCCATATCTACTGGGCTTGGTGATGCAAGAACAGTATTAATAACTAAAGCATTGGTTTCTCACTATTGCTCATAAAAGGTTCCCCAATGCTTTCTTTCCTTGATTTGAAATCTCTCTCTCTCTCTCTCTCTCTCTCTCTCTCTCTCTCTCTCTCTCTCTCTGTCTCTGTCTCTCTGCTAGCTTCTGAGCATCCCCAACAGGGTTTAATGACCCCCACCCCAACAGTCTTACTCTGTTGCTAAACCCAGGGTCTTTCTACATTTTCCTCCCAAGAGCTTTGGATTATTAGTATGTACCACAGCCAGTTTTTTACTCTTATTTTCAATGTAATTGGTTTGGAAGTCATACAAGAAGCCAGAGACAAATCTAGAAACAGCATACACACACATGAAATTGCTTAAGGATAATCTAAGGGAGTTCACAAACAACTAAGATATTGTAGTGTTAACCTATAGAGGCCAGGTCTAACTTAGGCAAGTTACGGTACAGACAGAACAGTAACAAGAGCCCCCCAAAATATGTGTAATTCTCATCTCTTGGAGATAGTGTCATGAGTTGAGTCCCTCAGGGGAGAAATTATCATGAGGGGCCTGGCCTGATAGACGTGGCTATTTTAAGGACATCTGAGAGCATACTGAAAATATGGTAAAAACAAAAAATGACATAGATTGCCCAAAAATCCTCTCTGGGAAAGAACCCTGGTATAGGAAACTGACCAGAGGGGATCTATTCTCAAAAAAAAAAAAAAAAACAAAGCTGAAGGAGACAAATTAGATCCAGAGTGCCGCTTATCCATCCCAGCCCTTGTCATCTATGGTAATCCCTGGTGTCTCTACAGATTAGGCCTCTATAGAAAGCAGTTTCCGATGGGGGGTGGTGGCACACACCTTTAATCCTAGCACTTAGGAGGCAGAAGCAAGTGGATCTCTGTGAGATCAAGGCCAGCATGGTCTATAGAATGAATTCCAGGATAAGAAGGGAAACACTGTTTCGAAAAAAATAGTTTCCTCTTCCTGTCTATAATGCAATCTCAGTAACATATTTATCAATTGGTACAAAAAGTCTAACATGATTATTGTGATATTGATTGGCATCCAAACAGAGATCTGAGCAGAGGGAGCACGATGATGGAAACAGTTCCACTGATGGAATCAGGCAGACTTGCTTCAGTGAGTCTGGAGCTACTCATGTTGAGCTTCATCTCGGACAAAAACTGCCCAATCACCCCAAACACTGGAGTTAGTTATGAATTATGTCTACTTCTGTCCCCATGAGTAAAGGGAAGCCATTTTCTTGGATAACTCTTCTTAGAGAATCTTTCCATCAGGCCAAAGATGGCTGGATTGGTTACTGTTCTAATACTGTGACGAGGCACCATGACCAAGGCAACTTATAAAAGAAAAGGTTTTATTGGGCTTACATTCCAGAGGGTTAGTGTCCACAATGGATGACTGGAACAGCAAGGAGTTCACATCTCAACCTCAAGCAAAGGCAGAGAGAGCACACTGGAAATGGCATGGGTTTTTAAAACCTTAAGCCCACCCCAGTGACACACCTTCTCCAACAAGACCACACCTCTTAACCCTTCCCAAACAGTTCTGCCAACTGGAGACCAAGTTTTCAAATGCCAGAGACTTATGTGGAACATCTAATTCAAACCTCCACAGTGGCTGTTCTCTGGCAAATCTAAAGAGAGGCAAAATGGACCACCGCCTTTCTTTGTCTCCTTTGCATCTATAGTATTGGTTCAGGTAGCAAGATAATAAGAAGGACTTCCTGCTACATTCATCTTCTCAGGGAAGGAATAAATGTCATTCATTCATACAGTATGGATAAGTCAGTGAGCTTTCTTTGTGGAAGTAGAATGTAATGGTGGCTACTCCTTTTGGCTAGAGATAAAATGTGTCTGCAAGCTGGAGAGCAGCTCACTGGAAAACCACTGGTTTAATTTCCTAAGGCTGTCACAACAGAGGACCACCCACTGGGTGACTTAAACAATAGGAAACCATTGGCTCTCTCTTCTGAAAGGGGATATCTGAGATCAAGTGTAAGCAGGCTGATTGCTTGTGAGGAGGAAGCATTAATTCCTCACTTCTCACTGAGCCTTGGCTCATAGATACACCACCCAACTTCTGCCTTCATCTACACAGTGTCCTCCCTGTGTGCATGTCTGTGTCCACCTTCCCCTCTATAAAGCGGTCAGTCGATTGGGCCTACCTTCCTGCAATATGACTTCATTTTAGTGACTCATATTGAGAAAGACCCCATTTCCATATAAAGTCACATGACAAGGTATAAGAGATTAGGACTCTACCAAAGGAATGTGGGCAGGAGGGGACCATGATTCAACTCTAAGCAAGCGTTCAGCCCAATAGGACAGTCTCCTCACACCCTGATTCCCCAAAGGAAACCACGACAACCCCAAAGCAAGCATGCAAACAGCTCCTCCGATTCTGCAGTGCACCATAGCCAGGTCGAGAGACAACTAATCGCCAACCTTCTCTGGGGATTTTCACCAGTGGACTTCCTTTTGTTTCTGTGCTGATGGCAGCCATGTGGGGCCCCACCTGATTTTGTTTGCATTTGACTAGTGCTCACAGTCTACACCAGGCCTTTCTTTGCTGGCTGGAATTAAAGATACACATGGCCCAGCAAGGATGTGTTTTTACAGAGGCAAATAATCACTTGTTTGCTGCCTAAGCTTCTTGTAGTTGATTTCCCATTTCTTTATTGTCATGGTGAGGATGATGTCGTGATACAGATATATGTTTCAATAAAGGTCAGTTCTTCACAGTTTGCTTTCCTTCCATCTGCTTGATTCCTGTGGTTGAAGTCCTAACCTCATGTTTGCTTGTCTTCTCACAGCTTGTTGCCATGGGAATAGATTATAAGATGAAGAATTTCAACAGTAACTTCAAAATACCCTGAAAGAGATGGAGAATATGAGCAGAATAGAAATGTGCTCTTAGCTGAACACATAGGTCTGGTAATTGTTTGGAAAAAAAAAAAAAAAGGAAGAAAGCTTAAAGCTACAGAAATGATATTAGTGTTTAAGTATATGTCAAATGCCCCCTGTTTATCTAACAGATACTACATATTAGCAACTGGCCTTGGAACTCAGAAAGCAAAAAAAGCTCTGTGGGGAAGAAGTGTGTTTCAGGGGTCTTTTTGACAAACTGAGTTTGTCCTAGAGATTGTTGGCTTGTTTCTTAGGTACCTTTGCACCACTCAAGACATGCCTGACATCCTAGGAGAGTGCTGTAATTCACATCTTGTCTTGAAAGCTTTAGGGTAGGGGGCAGTGGCCTGTCTAGCACCCTGATGACAGCCTCTGTTTTTAGTGTCTGGAGGCAGGAAATATCACAGAGATAAAGACAGAAAAGCTTTTGGTCTTCATTATTCTTGAAAAAATATGATGCAAATTAAGTCAACCACATACTATTTGGATGGCACAGAACTAGTGTCCCACTCAGGCTTCTGGACACTAAACACTGAGGTGAAATGGTGTTTGACTTCCTTAGCACTCAATGGGCACATAGATGCCTTACCTGGTGCAAGCTTTTATGATTCCATGCTCACATGTGTGCATAAATGTGTCTGTGCATGTGTATGTGAGTGTCTTTTAAAGCAAAAATATATTTTTATCTTGTAATTTTTCCTTGTATCTTTTAGATAAAAATATATACCCTGGAAGAGCAAGATGCCATATCTGTTAAGGTTGAAAAGTGTGTTAGCAGCCCAGCACACACAGCTTATCATCTCTTGTCTGACTTCACAAATCGACCTTTGTGGGACCCCCATTACATGTAAGAACAAACTTAAATATTTTTTTCTTAATCAAGCCTGACTTTGTGGTAAAGATAACTTCAGTTGTATTTCATCTCTGCTGCCCACTGCATGATATATTTATGATTTTAGGAATTTAGAGGAATTTTAGAGCTTGCTTTGCCCAAGTGACCACATCAGGTGATACTGAGAAGTGCAAAGCAACAATTATTGCACTCATCTGTTTGTCATTTATATTGAGTCGGCACACATGACCCACATCTATTCTGATACTACTGACAGCTTCAAAGATGATACTGTTCCCATTTCTGAGCCCTGGCAAGGCTGCTCCAACAACCGTGTTGGGACCTGCATCGGAATCCAGCTTGGCCAGGATCCATAGCACACCTTCTTTATATTTAGTACACAGCCTCGAGGTTCTCGGGGAGGAGGCCAATGTCTTCCCAGAACTCTTCTCCTGTGAAGCCATAAGTCTTAGGCAGAAGCTAGCAGTGAGTCCTGGAGGAAGGCACCGCCTGCTGCTCTCTCTTGATTCTGTCTTGATGATCTGATCATGCCCTGCTACCAGCTACCCCCTACCTTCTTTCCCACATTCTCTCCTGCCACTTTCTGGTTCTTCATTCCTAGAGCTGTCTCTTCCATTACAACTTTGCTGGAATATGGTGGTTATACCTATCCACAGGTCCCAATCTGCATATTTAAACTCTTTGGATAAAAAAAAAATGTTGTGTGCAAGTGTGCGTGTGTGGGAGGGGTTGTGTCAGCATCAAACCTGTACAGATTTCTTTTACTTCTTTCTTTAAATAGTATAGTAACTATCAACATATCATTTACATTGCATAAGTGATCTAGATATAGAGCATGCCGAATGATATGCATATGTTATAATGAAAATACTGTTGTTGTATAAAGGGACTTGAGCATCAAAGGTTTTGGTGTTGCCACAGGTCTAGGGATGACTATGGAACTGTGAGCCTTGTCAGCTGCTCTGCAGTGACAGATTACACTTCGGCCTAGCCTCCAAAGCTACAGAATACTACAGCATCTCAGACACCTTGTCTTTCAACAAGTTATTTTAAATGTTTCTGTCACAATTCTGTTTGACTTGGCATTCCATTGAAATTGAACATGAATGGATGGAGAAGCCAGTGAATTCATTTAAATTCAACCAACTTTTCTTGTATATTAAGACTCAGAGTCTGCATCAAGTGTTTGTATTTAGCTCTCACAATAACCCCCTAAGACACTAATATCTACTGTACAGACAAAATAATAAAATGACTTGCCTAACATAGTATGGCCAGTAAGCGGCAGTCTAAGAGTCAAAAGCAAGTGTCTTAGCTTCAAAGTTAGCATTTTTTCCAACATACTACATCTCTACCTGAGTGCTGGGACCAGCCTGATGTCTCATTCATCTTCAAAGTGTTTTATTTGATCCTAGAAAAAGATAATTTTGTGGAAAGCGTATTGCATTCCTCTGGAGTTTTGAGGGAAATGACCTTGGTGCCACACAGCTGACACCTTCCATCACATGCAAAATTACTCCTTCTGAGTAAATAGCTCATCTCTAATGTCAGCCTTCCAGAGTGTTGGGGGAGGGGTCAGCAGAACAAGTGAATATAGATGTCAAGGAGGAGATCATGGCAATCAACAAGGGAAGCGAATGCCTCATTCTAGCAGGTAGGAAGCATGTCTTTGAATACTGTTCTGTTCACACAGAACCTGTGATGTCGTGGACCAGGTGAGTGAGGATGATCTGATATATTACGTCACCTGTTCTGTGGCAAATGGAGATAAACCCAAAGACTTCGTAGTACTTGTGTCACGAAGAAAGCCTCTCAAAGATGAGTGAGTACATACAGCTCCTCTGGTGTCCTGGCCTTGTCTGCTAGAAAAGAAAGCCTACAAAAACAACAAAGTCATCATGGATGTTTCTAGTCTTTAGTCATATTAATCTGGGTCTTTCAAAATATATGAATCATTAGTTACCATTTTAAAATGCATTCATTGTCAGCTGTGTGCAGAGGAGCTGCAGGCATTCTAAGGTAGCCCCCTTCTGCTCTATGTAGACTAAAATGAGTATCTGAAAAGCCTTCAAGACCTCTTGTTATCAGTAAAGTCAACAAGAGGAATGACAACACCAGAAACTGGCTTAGAATTCATGAAGGCCATGCTGTATTAGCCATCTAATACTGTGTGCTAGGGCCATGGGCTAGAGTTTGAATGTGGCCTTCCCATGTACCTGGGACCACACAGAACATAGAATAAAAAGAGAAGTGTCTCAAATAAGCCCCCCTACACACATGGGCTAATGTACGTAAGTGTTCATTGTAGCATCTTTTATTATGTCAAAGAATATGACAAATAAATTGATGTCTATCTTATAAATTATGATAAATCCACAATGCAGAGTAGTGAGACACCTCCAAGGAGGAGAAAGTAGTTATTGGGGGCACAAATATGAAAACATCTCTAAATATCGTTAGGTGGAAAGTCAAGTTGTGGGTTGTATTTGCAAAGTGACTGTATTTGTATAACAACCTATGTGTGTGTTTGCTAACCGTGCTTGTATACAGTAATTAAATCTAGAGAGCTGCATATGGAAGGTGAGAATAGTCACTCATGTGATGGAAAATAGGATTACAGGTAGAGTAGACTGAAAGACCACTTTTATTTTCTAGTCGATTGCATTCTTTATTGCTTGAATATTGGTTTTCTTTTTAATTGAAAAATGATGGGAAACTGAGATCATAACCATTTAGGGTACACCAAAACTTTAGTGATTCCAGGCTTATGCCTTGTGAAGTTACCTTATTCACTATGTTTGAAGGTCACTATAGAGAAGGTTTTTTTTTTTTTTTTTTTTTTTTTTTTTTTTTATGTGATCACTCATCCAGAGGAGGTCTAGTTTTCAGAGCTCCCTCCTGCCAGGACAATGAAGTCACCCATGGGCTGGGGATGAAGCCAGTGGTGGAGAACTTGCCTAGGGTGCAGTAAGCCCTGGATTTAATCCCTAGAACCACAAAACCAAATTAATAAATGCCAGTGTAAATTTCTATAGAAATTTACTGCCTGACAACTATTCTCACATGTGTTCTTCTTTTTCAGTAACACTTACACTGTGGCAATGAAGTCAGTTTCCCTGCCATCCATCCCTCCATCTCCACAGTACATCAGAAGCGAGGTCATATGTGCTGGGTTTCTCATCCAGGCTATCAACAGCAGTTCATGCACTGTATGTTTGATGAAATATTTGTGCCTTAATTTATTCTCACAGATATGGGAAAACATCTTCATTCCCCCAGATCTCCTAATTAATCCTAGTTTTAGAATGTGTGTCCTCACTAAAAAGACCCCTTGGTTCTTCCTTCCAGAGTCATTCCCAACAGTTTCAGTCTCTTGCTTAAAAATTCTCCAAGGCAATAAAACTCAACATGCTGTATTTTCTCTTTCACACAGGTAGCATACCTGAATCAGATGTCAGACAGCATCCTCCCTTACTTTGCTGGCAATATTGGTGGCTGGTCAAAATCCATTGAGGAAGCTGCAGCTGCTTGTATAAAGTTCATAGAGAATGCTGCTCATGATGGACTTAAAAGTGTGTTATAAATGGTCACCTCTCAATTACTGTAATTTAATTTCTCAGGTTTAATTCCAAGTGTCCTTAGCCCTTTCATTTGGCAAGCTTTGGGGCCATGCAATGATTTAATGGCAGCCTAAGTAAAATACAGTTATGAAGATATCAAAAACCAGCATGTGTTCTGGTGATTTGGATTCAAACTACAAGATATCTAAAGCCCTATTGTACAGACATTGGAAAATTGCCTGATGCAGTATTACATGATCTATAAAATGTGACAAAGTTAGTTAAAACTCTCACAGACATCTCCAGATCACAGAAGTTCTATGTGTATTCTGCAATGATGAGTTTATAAAATGTGAAACAATGGCAGGCTTTAAGTTGATGGGTGTTTAATATTGTTCCATGGGCAGCAGACATCTCTGTCAGGGGTCTCTGAGAAGATGTATTCCCTGTTTTAGAACTTTAAATTAGGAAGTATTAAAATATAATGGAATCCAATCAATTTTGGTAATAAGAACTACTTTACTCTTGTCATTTTACATATATTCCAGGTAGATGGCCAATTTAGTATCTATTTCTATATATATGCATGCCAAGCACCTGTAAAGTGTGATATTACAAAGAGAACATTAACTGAGCTCTTCTTTATAGCTACCCCATTAGCACTTTATCCCCTAGACATCAACATTTATCATTCTACACCATGATGGGTCTTAACTCATAAGACAAAACAGAATGTGTCACTTTAGTCCTGTCAAAGGATGACTTTCCCAAACTGAAGATCTCCATTAGAGTTGAGAGCAAGAGACAGGCTAAGGCCAGCCTGCTGTGAGCTCACCAGGTCTCTGCCTGGCTCCCCTGACTCCTCCCACTTGCCCACTTGCATGGTCTAGGGCTGGATACAATTATGTTTACTTATCTGTTTCTAGTTTTCCTATATGTGAAATTTAGAATTTATACAAATTACTATTTATATGTCAAAATGGTAGAAATGTAGAATACAACATTCTAGAACTACTTCTGGAACTGTTTTACATTCTAAAGGGTAACAGAATTAGTAATGAAGGCCTTATATTACACCACAATTTAGTATGTTAAAATTTCAGACTTCTGAAATGATGATACTTCTAAATGCATAGGCTTGGTCTTTGAATTTAGTTTTTGAAATGTTTGCCTGAACAGAAACAGAAATATTGAATTTTTAGCTGACTCACATTGAGACATAGACGTCCACTCCAGTTTGCAGGGTCCACCTTACCCTGGAGGGACAGTAACTATGCAGAGCACTATCATCTGTTCTAGATTTATTCCCATACCACACACTTATGATGAAGTTTAGTTGATAAGTTAGATATTTGCAATAGCCTTCAATAAAATAGAACCACTATAACAATACGCTATAATAAAACTGAACATGAGCTCCCTCTCAGCTTGCCATGCTGAGCTTAACTGTCTCCCCTCTTCCTGAGATGAGATGGCAAAGTGTCTACAGGTATAGATAAGCTAGTCATAAGTGAATTTTATAGACACTGTGACATGGTGTTAGCTGCTGTTGGCCTTCTGTCTTGAACACAAGCACTGTATTGTGACAGAGATATTGGGTGTCTAACTGACAGGCAAGGAAAACCTTGTGGACTTGCTGGTTCATTCTCCTGGCAGGACTAATTTCAACACACTACACAGAATGCTGCATAATACAGCTGACAAATTGCTTAACTCTAGAATTTTCCATTGAAAATTTCCAGACAATGGTTGATAGAGTGACAGGCATACTGGATTTGCTGGGTGACATGGGAATAGCCTATACTCAACCACATTCCCTGATATGAATCGCAAAGTCCTTAAAATTAAATGAATTTCAAGCAGTTCTTCAGCCACACCAGCCCACTTTCACATACTGTTGATCACCCAAAGTTGGTGACAGCTGGAATGACAGGTACAGATGCGAGATATGTCATCTTCAAGATCTATTCAGTTTGTCCCAAGATCTATTCAGTCTGATGCAGGTAGGCCCTATTGTTTTCCCAATTTCACCCCGTCTCCTGTCAAACAATTCCTTCTAATCTTCCTAGGAGAGCTTGTTCTGTGCTTCTGAGCAGAGATGTAGAGCCCATCTCCCTGGCTGTTTCAGGGTCTTTCAGCACATCCTAAATTGAAGTGTTCATTATTAGGATCCCTTGTCTTTATAGACTTTGAAGGGACAAGATACAAGAGAAGATAGCAGCATGATGTCGTCTTCTTGGGCTATTTCAAAACTAAACCTACTGTCCAAAACAATGCTACCATGCATTTGAGTTGTGAAACACAATAGCCCTTGACCTTGTATTGTCTTAAAAACATTTTTATGACATTTTATTTGTTTTGTGTGTATTTATCTGCTTGGTGGGGGTGGGCACATGCCACTGCACCTGGGTGGAGGTTAGAGAACAACTTGGGGAGTCAGTTCTCTCCTTCCAGCATGTGAGTCCCAGGGCTTGAACTGAAGTCGCTGGGTTTGGGAGTAAGACCTTTTACCCAATGGGCTATCTTTGTGGGTCATGCATTTCCTCTTTATTATAGGAAGATGTCTGTCCCTTCTTCCATTCATACTATTGAGATCTTTTCTGCTAGGCATTCTATGCTCTGTGGTTTCTGCAAGGAATTGTAATGTACTTGTTATTCCATAAATAAAATGAATAAATAATATGCAATGTTGGAAGGCCCACTATCTAAGAAAACAAAGCAGGGCAAGGGGTGATGAGATGGGAGAATTGATTTTAGGGTGACTAGAGACACTTGAACATAAACCAAACACATGGAGAGAGTGACATAAAGACCTGTAGCTGCAGGATAGACCCCACCAAAGGGTCAGTCCTGGCCAACTCTCAAGGACAATGCTTCTGGCTCATTCTAGAAAAAGCAGAGAACCAAGTGAGACTACAGCACAGTGACAGATAGTTAAAAACAGCTGAATCTAAGACTACATTTCTCTCCCGTCTAGTGCCCAGGGTTTAAGCAGAAGTGGATGTTCTAAGGTAAGACGTTGAGTGGCTCAGCAGACGCCAGGTTGCTAGGGAATGAGACAGGAAAGTCATACTTCAGATGGGGGAGGATCTCATGAGGTACTTTCCCTAACTAAAGCAACATTGGCACATGATAGCTACTTGGGGTTGGGGGGTTGGGTGCGGGTGTGTATGTGTGGCTACTAGCAAGCTGCCCATGCTCCATGTCCCTATATCTAAGCACATATGGGCAGCACTAATTGGACTTAATGGGTTATTTAAATTTTTTTAAAAAAGGACATGAAGCTGGGAGTGATGTTTGGAGGGCTCAGCAGGAACTGTGCGGGGAAGATATTGTCACATTTTGCTGTGTAATGATGAAGTTATCAAAGAAGACATAAAAAATAAAGTTTTAAAGATTAAAAAGGGGCCCGGCGTTGGTGGCACATGCCTTTAATCCCATCACTCGGGAGGCAGAGGCAGAGGCAGGTGGATCTCTGTGAGTTCGAGGCCAGCCTGGTCTCCAGAGCGAGTGCCAGGATAGGCTCTAAAGCCACACAGAGAAACCCTGTCTCGAAAAACAAAAACAAACAAAAAGATTAAAAAGGAAGTCACTTAAATGCAGATTTCATTAGAAACATGCTGCTTTTATATAATAACATGCTTTTATAGAGAAAGACTGTACAAAAATCACTAAAGAGTCATCATTAAACAGAAATACTAACAATTGAACAAGTATCTAGTCCTTCATTATTACTTATCAAATTCATGATCCAGTATCACTGGCCTGTCTTGATTCCTCTTAATAAAGCCCATAACTGGCATGATTCAAAAGAGAGGGGTTATGGTAGGTTTTCTCTTTTGAGTGTTGTGGTATTTTTACAGAATGTTACAGATTTCATAGCTGTTTTTCTGGTGTTTTCCAGTGCTTCCAACAAGAATAAAAGGTCTTTCATTTAAAAAGAAACCTCATTTCTATTTAGTCTGCCTGGTTTTAATGCAACTGAATTGCTGTCTTCATCACCTTTGTTATAGAAAAAAATCAAGAGAAAGAAATTCAAATATTGATCAGAATGTGGGCACCCTGTACTCAAACACCTGTAGGAAATGATAACTGATTTTAATAAGATTAAAATAAGCCAGAATATGTTTTTAACACAGCATCACATTATTCCACTGTATTTCTGAGCTGCTCACAGTGCAGGTGAAGTATCGGGCTATCTTACCATGGCCGGGATTTATCGGAGTTGAGTAAAACTAGAGGCATTGGTGGTTTCTAGGGAGTGAATACAAGGATCTCCCAGGGAATCTAAGCCAGGCAGGGACAGGAGAGAATATAGGCAGGAAAGTTTTTTTTTTTTTTTTTTTTAGAAATATCCTAACAAAATTTACCGATGTGGTTTAAGAGATAGTTTTGAAAATATGTATTAAAAAGATGTATTAAAAGAGTATGTTTTACAGCTTGAGATAAATTATTAAAGGAAGAAATATGAAATTTATTCATAGATTATTTCTCCCATTTGAAAATAGCTGGAACCCTTGGGGCAGCATCTCTCTCAGAGCCTCACTTTTGCTGGCTCTCTGGCTTTCCCTGAGTGTGTCAGACTCAGAGACATCTGTCTCATGGTTTGAGCCACAAGTCAAGATGACCACTGTATGGCTTCAAGTCAACTGCAAATTCATAAGAAGAGGTCAGCGGGAGGGACTGGCTCCTTTGTCACTGGCCACAGTGCTTGCTACTTGTTCAGAAAAGTTCTAGGTCTAGAGTCTCTCAGCTGTCTCCAGGCTCTAGGTCTCTTCTAGCTCTGAATCAGTCTCTCAGCACCCCTGATGCACCCCCCATCACCTCCCTCCTCCCCTCCATGTCTGAAGTCTGAAGCATACACTTCAGCACACCTTGTCGTTCTTGTTAGACTTGGGGAGCCAAAGAAAGTGACACAAATGCACTCCTGCTCCTGTCACTTGCTGTGTCTCAAGCAAGATGGGCCTTTGTGCCTGAACAAAGAGACAGAGTCTCATGCCTGTTGCTAACAGCCATATAACTACCACAGCCTTTTTTTTTTTTTTTTTTTAA